AAATATATAGCGAGGGTAAAGATACAGTACTCTGCAATGATACGGTCTTGCTGCTGCAGTCATCTTTCCCATTTTCTAACACTAGGATTTCTTCTGCCACCAGTTACTGCATGCCATCACTCCATAGGATGAACTTGGTCTACACATGCCATCACCATCTTTAGATCTGCTGCTCTCTTTAAACAATTATATAATTCACACTAAATCAGTTTTCAGCTACAGGCCACAAAGAGAAATTTGACTTATGCAAATTATTTCAACTGCCAAAAAAAGTTAGTAAAGATTTTACGAATAAAGTCAAATTGATACTATTCATGAAAAGCGTAAAATCCATGCCTACAAGGTGTACTGCGTTAAGACAGCTTCCTACAACCTGTTCTGAAAGAACATGGCAGAAGCATCTGGTCAAACAACAGAGCAGAAGAAGGGTTAGCACGGCTCGTTCTCCTGCAGACATCTGCCTGCCCCCACCTCCTACAGCAGAATTTGCTTCTGATCCGCAAAGCCAGTACGGCCCTTAGCTGGAAGACGCGTCCCTTAGCAGCATTTAGTGTCCGACGTACTGCTAGCTTCCCATTTCAAAATAACCACTACTAATTAGGAGATCTACATGCTTCTGAAGGCACCCGGACCCCAACAGAGTGAAGGGCCTGCACTTTCACACAGGGCTTAGCAGGGATAATTTGTCATTTCTATCCTGCCTAATCTCTATTAAGACACATGAAGAGGACCGTAGGTACTCTGCAGCCAGCGTGCGAGACATGCTATTGCTTGCAAACATTTCAGGTGAGAAAACTATCACAATTGCAAACAAATTGTTTTTCTCAATCCAATGGTTTAACAGCTGAGCTACTTCTGCAACCACCACAGGAATATATTACAATAAATTTGTGAACTAATAAACTAGAGCTAATCTGAGATGTGAAGTAGTCTTTCCAGCAGCAGTGAAGAATCCACTCCTTTTGAAATGGTACCTGAAATAAGCATTGGGGTTTTTAAGTTCAGGGAACTGGATGTAGGAAAGTGTCAAACTGACAGCTAGCATAATGGTACATGCATTATGAAACATTAAGAAACACTCAAGTCTGCAAAGGCAATGTTCAGCTACCTCTGCAGTTTATAAGGGGGAAAAAAAATACAACCTAGCAAGTATTTTGATGAAGTCAAGTCATCAACCTGAAGATTCTTCCTCAGATTATTAAGCAAGCAGGGCATACATGAAGACTATTAGACACCTTTTACAAATTCTTAGATACACTTAAAAATTTAATTTCACGGAGGTAATGAGCATCCCAAGAAAACACATCTTTCATTACTGTTACAAGCTTGATAAAATAACACGCACTTGAGCACTGCTGGATATTTAGAGCACAGACACAAGTCAGAACTCATTTAATGTTCTGCGTAAGGTTTCCTCATGATTACTTTTCTTCTTCTGCCTCAGGAGAGTAAGTACACCCAAAGCACTTAGAGCATAGCCTGCAGTACAGTAGCTGGCCTGCATCATCACTGAGGTTCTGCTCATATATTGCTTTAAGACATACAAGCTTCCTACTTCAGAGACAAAAGAATTAAATATGTCTGATGTGGCTGATTAGAAGGGTCATGAGGGTCATGATTTCTACTGTTTAACATTTATACAGTTCAGATTGCAACTCAGCATTACGCTTATTATCAAACTGCTTTCCAGAGACAGACCTAGAAAACATGTGTATCACTACTACTTAAGTTGAAATGCTAAATTTACAAGAAATTGTTAGTCAAAGCTAAAGGCAAATATTTTCAGTAAATAGTGCTACAAAGGAAAATTGATGAAAACAATTTTTAAAAAGTTTAACTTTTCTGAATCTAAATGTGGCTAAATGAACATTGTTTCCAAAGGTAAACTAACTAGAAGTTACTTCAGCTCTGAACAGCCTCATCTAGAGAGAGGGATAAAATCACTTCCGTAAATATTTCAAGTAAAGTTTTTTGGTTGTACTCCATTTAAACAAGTCCTAACTTCTTCCTTAAAGTCAAGATTAAACTAAAAGTACCTTCTCAAATTTACCCTGCAGTTAGTGTTTTTCTACTCTTAAAAAAAAAAATTCTGAATGCGACAATGATTTGAAAATTGAATTCTGAACTCCCAGTAAGGACACACATTATAAACAATAACCATAATACCAGCAAAATACCTGTGACATCCTGTGGTGTAGTGCTACAAACATGACCCCAACTCTCACATGGCACAAAACAAGCACACTTCTACATACATGAAATGTCAAAGAGCAGGGACATCACCACATCTCTGCCTGCCCTACAACTGACTGCAAACAGGCAGCAGCTTTCAAAACACAGATCTGCCTCCTTGCAAGATGGAGAGCCTGAAGAACCATTATAAAACTGGAATCCTTTTTGCTAAGTGGAAATAAAATGCATTTAGAAGGGACGAGTATACTTTTGAAAGAGGGAGTGCCTGCCTGGGAGAAAAAAAGGAGTGTATCACAGGATAAAAAGTCATACCAGTTAATAACTGCAAACCCACAGTTACTCAGCATCAGCTGACTGTCAGTGCCTACCAAACATTCAGGTGGTGAGACTGTAAAGAGCAGATACTGTACCCTTTCCTGCGTTTTGCAGCAGCAGCCATCAGCTGCTCATCAACTGCTGACACCAGCTGCTCCTTGGTGCCTACAGTTTGAAGTAACCTGTAAGCACGCACCAAAATTAGCTGCTGCAAAAATCAGTTATCATTCAGCAGCTAACAAGTACAGACTAATGTATGCAGATTCTTAACAGCCTGATCAACAATGCAAGAGCAGCAACTACACCAACAGGTCATCAGTAAATCATACAGCACCTACACCACTCTGCAACAGAACAGGGATTTACACGGAGGTCAAAAAGCTGTGACAATTTAACATCTTCTTGCATACTTTGTGTAGAAGAACAAGTTCATTAGGTACCAGCCTTAGTAAAAAGCTGATTTACAACAATGCTCCTTGTATTCAGTATTTTCAAGTTATCAAGCATAAACATTTTGAATGTAAGAATTATCAAAGACTACTATTTGATCACTTGCTAATCCCACAGAAATGTAGGTTGCCACCAAAAAAAGCAAATTCTCATCTCCGTTCCTCAGGCTGACAGCAGCACTCGTGCGGCCAGCCTTCTTACAGAGCTGATCAGCCCGGAGGGTTTTCGACAATGAGTTAATTTTCATGGGGATCAGTCCCCACTTCCTCTTGTTCAGTGTCAGTACAAGCACTAACACCGCCGATACACAACGGAAGCAGGGACGGGTACCTGAGTGGAGGAAGGGGACCTCCCATACCATGTCAGCTGAAAGCAGTGATGAAAACTACACCTTTCGTCATGTTCATATTCAACACATTGACTAAAGTAACAGCGATGCTGCCAGTTACAAAGTACATTTCTGCAAACGACAAAATATTTCCTTGAATTGCAGACTGTCCTACTGACTGTTGAAGAGGTACCCACTTAGGCCTTTAGGCTGGCTTATGTCCTCACTTGAAGAGGAATGACACCAGGAAACTGCTTCTTGCAAATTTTAAATTCAGGTTGATTTTTATTTATTATACATCAGTAGCTGAAGAAGCCACAACTCAACTGTTTATTGGGAAAGAACATTCCAACACAGTATTTGACCTTTTGCTTAGAAATTATTTTAGAAATTTTTAAAGTGAACTCGAGACTCAGACTGTTCATAAAAATCCATTCTGTGCATACCTGAACCTTCTTGTTTCCCCTCACCATTCATAATTTTACTATTTGTCATCTTCGACAAACATATCAAAACCAAGTGTTCCCATGTTATACGGAATGTTTCCATTTTCACAACTTATATTGGTGAAGCTATAAAATTGAAACAAAACTCACAAACAATCCAAGCAAGCTGCGGAAAAAGAAGTTTCCATCTTGTTTCACCACTGATCACTTATAAATTAAAAAAAAAGTAAAAAAATTAAAGTTCTACAATGGCAATAATTTCAGTTACTAAGTAGTAATTGGATTATTTATTTAACATTACCTGTCATTATAACTGCCCGTTGGTAACAATTTGACTTCTAGTCAATGTAATAAAGCAGCTCAGAGTAGATAAAATTCTTATTTTGGGAAAACATACAAAAATCACAACTTTTATATTAAAAACTCTGTTGTAAGTATATACAAAATAATTATCAAAGCATTTGGTTCATACAGTGCTGCTTTAAGTCACGAAATCAACTACTTGTTCCAAGAGAGTCCGTGCTAGAAATGGATGCCTGGGCAACCATCTCAAATTTGTCTGCTTGGGGCACAGACAGAACAACAGAGAGTTTGTCTGCATTCGTTACAAACTTGGAACCATAAGGTAAAAGGAAAGGAAGCTATTAACCCAAAGAGAAAAAAAAATCAGCGATGTTAAGTTCCCTGCATTGTTCCATTAAACTACTTCTGTTGTTCAGTGATGGAACCACATTTAGAGCATAAATGGCAGCAGTCTCCAGTCACATTATTTTGCCTGTTTTCTCCAAAAACTCCTGAAGTGGTTTTCTTGGGACTTAGATGTCCATTTAGACACTCACCAATCCCAATTTCAAAAAGCCAGAAGCAATGACTTCCTGTTACAACTCAGGCAAGAGTTTACACTGGTGTCCTGAAGAGAAGCAACCTGCATTTTGTGAGCCCCAAGTCATCTAGCTCATTACATACTGCTGCCAACCCATATTTAAATGTAAACATGTTTTGTAACCAAGAATAACCAAACTAATTCCATTCCTAACTACAGTACAAAATCTAAAGTTATACTCTGACATATTTGTTACCCCTTAGAAAGGTGCCCAAAAGCATCACCCGTATTAATACATTAGACTCTGTATCTCAAGTTCGTCATCCAGCAAACCTGACTCAAAAAAGAGACATCACATGGCTGCAACCATTTCAATATTCAATTATGCACTACAAGTGGTGTACGTTCCCCCCTCCCCCCAGTTACTCAGTTGTGAATGAATTGCTCAGAATTTCTGAGGTTCAAAGATGGTCAGTTCTCTCCCATCATAGAACTCTTGCAGTTGCTTTGACTCGTATTTTATGGGTGGTTTTTCAACCTGCATCCCAGGTTCCAGAGCATTCTGTCCAACTATTTTAAGATTCACAACTTTTATTTTCCAGGTATTCTCCCTAACAGGACAGCTAATGAGTCCAAAAATTTGTTCAAAGATGCCCAAACAAGTGTTGTCTCTGTGTACAGTGCCAGCCACTGCTACCAGTACTAATCCATGTCGAGACATGGCACATTTCAGTCCATTGTCATGCAAATTAGGGTTGAAGAGAAGATACTCTTCTTTAACCAAGGAGAGCAGGCGAAGGCTCACCATTTCTGCGCCAACATATTCTTCCATGTTTTTTTCTAATGTGTTGTAAGAGAACTTCATTTTAGCATCCTCCCAAAAATGCTGTGGTCCCCATCTTTCTTCAGATTTTACTCCCAAGGGATGTTGAGAATTTAGGAGTTCAAAGAACCATTGACAGAATTCTTCTCCTAGATCATGAATGTCATCTTGCGGTGACTTTTGTCTCTCTCCATGACTCTGCAATTAAGCACATATTTTTCTTAGAACTGTTTTGCCTTAACATGTGAGATTACCACTTAAAACAACATAGAATCATGTATATACTTATTTTAAACATTCCGAGTCTTCTTCAAGTGTTCTGAGGCAGTGTGCCCAAAGAAAAACAACAAAGTCCTGTGAGCCTATTTAATTTGTACATACGTGGTTTGTTTATCCTCTGCTTTCTCTTACAATAGGTAAGCTTTTTTTAAGTTGAGAAAAATCATCCAAACTTTCCAACATAAAGACACATGACCTCCAACCATAAGGTGACATGTTTTTTGAACAAGAACTAAACATACGGTTATTTGGTAGGGCTTCTCAGTATTTGCATCTTGACAGCAAGACTTTTAGAAGAATCAAATGTCAAGTTTGCTGACACCAAAGTCTAGTAAGTATTAAATTAAGTATGTTTTAAGTAAGCATTAAGTAATTAAGTATGAGAAGTTTGGAGACTTCTATATAGACACGCTGTATCTGTTTCACAAAAAATTAATTTCTAATTCTGTTACGCAGGGTCATGTTACCCATTTCTTCAAAATGGTGAGGGCCACAAGAATTAAGAAAAAACAAAGGCAAAGAAAGATGTATGTGATAAATAAACCAGTTGAACTTCTCATTCTTTGTGAATATGTTTTAAGTACTTGGGAGAATTTAATTCACCTACCTTCAATCATAAAACTTAGCTATGGGAAGTGTTCTTGCAAGAGCAACACTGTTGTTCCCAAAGTATGCACACAAAAAACTGTTTTGAAAACAATTCTCAGCTAAATCATAATTCTCACCAGTTAATCCCTGAGAGATCAATGCAAGAGGTTATCAACAGCTACAGAGCTCTAACCGTCCAGCTGGTGGGGCTGTTGCCCATTAGGTCTCAGAAGTGCAATACGTAAGAGCAAGATGGCTATTTAGAACTGCATGGTAAAGATCCAAGAGTAATAAAACACTGGAAGTTCATTACACCATGAGGATTTCCTAAATGTCAAAATTTTGAACTTCAAAATAACCTGTAATTGCCAAAACACACTTAGTTACACTGTATTAAGTGTTAGTAATATCAAGGGGAAAAAATGACACAGACCTGGCACTGCCACAAACTTTACATTTCAACGATAAAAAAATTCACTAAAATCCATTCCGCACTCTAACTGCAAGAGGTAACAGGGAAAACAGCTTACAGACAGTGCTACTTTGATTGCACTGTCTTGTAGGTCAAGAAGGCCGTTTTCTCTCCATTACCTTCCTCTCCCACAACTTTTTAGACCACAGTCTGACAGACGTTTTCACTCAACGATTTACTATCGACAGCATCTCTTTGCTCTGGTTTGACATGTGCCCTACCAATGGTATCGCTAGTGCCTGGTGTGGCTGGAGGGTGACTGCAAATTCTGGATCTATACTAAAAGTTTAAGAAGATCCACCACATTAAAAAAATGACAAGGGGCTATGCAGGGTTTCTGTACCATTAACACTGTTTTCAGTTGACCTTGAATCCACAGAATTATTTGTGAATACTCTCTATTTTAGCTTACACTATAACTTAAAAATTAAAAGCATGGAGAAGACTCCACACGTTAGAGTTCAAATGCACTAATACACTTTGCAAAACAAAGCAGAAGACTGTGCTCTGCAACTGACAGGTTGGCACAGACACATTTGAACGATGTAACTAGAAAAAAACCCAACCACCCAAAAAACAAACAAACCAAGAATTAAAGAGATTCAGTATCTTCCTAAGTGCAGGTGAAGAGCCACATTTTGGATGTACATTAGAGCACTTACACTGGTTATCCTGCAAACACAATGCTAACCACCCTCAGGTCTTTCAGAAAGCAGCACTCACCTCAGCATGTGGTTTTCTGTTCCCTGACTCTGAGGCAGGTGGTGTGAGCTGCCCACTCCAGTACTGCTTTACACGATCAATGAGTAGATGTTTCTCAGAGGAAGGAGGCACTGGAATTCCTTGTGTTGCCAAATACTTAAAAATTATTTCTCGATAGACTTTTCTGCGCTTCAAAAGTTCTTCTACACTTTGGCTGTAAACCAAAATGGCATGAATAGCTTCTGCAAGTAAAAAAAAAAAGTAATTTAGAAGTTGCTTCTTTCACAGTTAAAACCCAAACCTGTGGCATTTCTTAAATGCCTGACCAGCACCTCCAAACAGACAGTACAAGACAAGCCTAAATGAAATGCAAAGACTTAGAAGTTTGTTTGCTAACTGAAATCTGACCTAATCATATTAGACACAGAAGATACCCAAAGACTTGGGAGCATGTTTAAAAAACAGTGCTGTTTTTACTGAAGACTTTGCTACCTTGTAATCCCTACTTCCAATATCAATGACTGCTTGGAACTTACTGCGTTTCATTTTAGCTTGATGAAAAGGATGCAACTTCTTCTTCCAAATGAAATCAGTAATATTCTTCAAGTATTTTCAAGCTGTTTAGAAATTCCTAGTGCTTCAAGAAGTATAAAGAGCATTGCACACAATGCATTTCACCTATACTTCCTGAGATGCAGCTAGCCTTAGCTTCAATATAAGTTAATTTAACATGAAATCATTTAGGGCTTCTGGCTTCGTGTCACCATTCAGCACTTTCACTTAGCAAAAGCTGAGCTTGATTTCATTCTCCATTTGAAAAGCTCTGGGATATTTCAAAATAAGCCATCCACCTGCCTTCTTAGAAGCAAGATTACACAGAGAAAGAAGAACCAGACAAATCTCTTACGGTTCTTCTGAATATGGAATGTAAATCCTAATTTCTGTATCAAATGGATAGTTCACATGATCTCTGAATGTGTCAGAACCCATTGTTATTTTGAAGAACATGCATTAAGTTTTCAAACGTTACCCGTGAACAGAAAATTGACAGAAATGCAGACAGAGAGATGATAACTAAGGTAATCTCTGATTCTCTGTATACTGAACAAGAATTCTACTACCAGCAGTTTGCAGTTTTTCAGACAACACTCAGTAGTTTGTGAGGTTCCATCTAGGTTCCTAAAGACTAACGGAAATGGAATTAAATCTGTTTTATTTCCACACTAATAAAATTACTGCTCCCGGGTTCGTAAGAAAACACCATGCACGCGTGACGACAGTGCATTGAAATGTAACATTCAAAAAAATTCAGCTACAAGGCTCTGTGGGAAAATTAGGAAACATGATAAACTGAAATTAATTTTTAAAGTGGTTGTGGTAGCCAGTTCTCGCCTGAACTGAGGCTGGGTATTTAACATGTTACCTATACAAACTGTAAGCTTAAACAAAAAGAGACAAATAGCTGAAGTAAAAAAATAAAATAACATCTTTTAATTTAACCTACAACCACTGCAAAAAGTAGATTAAGAAGCAAGAAGAAGAACTGCAGGCATAACACCTTTTTAAGAAACATGTCTGGCAATCTTACAGGTGTGAGTTATGTTACATTAAACGTATTCAAGGTTTTCAGATGGGTATATTTCAGGGCAGTATGCTGAGCGGCCTCAGGTAATACACATACAAAATTAAGTTTTACAAAACAAATCTCAACACCTACAAAGTGATTTGGGATAGTCACACCTGAAAGTGCTCCGGTCTACAAAGAAATAAGTTCAATATTTCATTTGCGTTTTACCCTTTCAAAACCTCAAAGCAAATGTCATTAATGCAAACAGCAAGAGACATTTGAGTTTACGATACGTTTTTAAACGCTAACAGGGCACAGCAGCGCACGAAGCTCAACACTGCGTGTGTGCGTGTGGTGTAAGAGAGAAAAAGCCGTGCTTGGGATCTGAACGTCTGCTACCAGCCGCTGGCAGCCTCAAGATCCTTTGCTAAAGCAAACGCCCCCCCCCCAAGCTCTCAGCAGCCAAATCCCGGGCTGTTCGGACGTACGCAGGCCCACCAGAGAAAAAGGCTCCCACCGAACAGAACGCGGCCGCACATTTCGGCACAGCCCCGCGCCGGGGCAGGGCGCTGCGAACCCCCCATGACAGCTCC